TTTTGCTTAACATGCTAAATACAAAAAAGATGTTTTATTCTCAGATATTCTAAAGATACTATCTGTTCCATTGCTGGTATAACTAGTATTGCTTGTATAATTTAGTATAATATTGTGATAGTATTTCAAGAATTGTGTAAGTGTACTAAGACTAAAATAGTAATTTTAAAATTATAGATAAAAATAGATAAAATAAAAATAATTTTGTATAAATTAATTAGTAATATAGATTGTAATAAAAATCTGCAGGTTTAGACATTCTAAAAAATCAGATCTCTTAAAAAAATAAAAAAATTTTACAAGAAAAATTACTTTCTATAAAGAGCTCAAGAAGTAAAGTAAAGAGTTGGCTTTATATAAAATTTTGTATAAAACAAGTTTACTTAAACAGTTAAATATAGTTTAATTAATAAAATTTTGTATAAAACAAGTTTACTTAGACAGTTAAATATAGTTTAATTAATAAACTTTTAAATAAAAGTAATTTATTTGTAAAAATTTTTACAAGCGATTATTAGAAAAAGTTATATGATTGGTCTATATTAATTTTATAATATTAAAATTTTATTATTTTAATATAATAATTATAGAAATTTATAATTTGGTGCACCCTGCACCATGGTGCACCCTATTACATGGTTTGCATTTTTAAAAAAATTTTATTGGCTAATTTATACTAAACTGATTTTATATATGCGTCACATCTAGCCAAGTATTAAATTTAATTTATTGTACTTCACCTTTTTTTTACAATATACTGTACTATGTACTGACAAATTTTATCTTTTTTTAGTTATTTTGACAAATATCCCTTCTTTAGATTATTCTGAAGCACGGCATTACATGTCAGGCTAAATATCGATATGTATTATAGTACTTTGCTTTTTTTTACAATCTACTACTACAGTACTGACAAATCTTATCCTTCTTTAGGTTATTCTAAAACACCTTCTTTAGGTTATTCTGAAGTGAATACTGCAATGTGGGCTTTGTATAAACTCTTAAAGAAATATAATTAAGACAAGTTTGCAATCTGTCGGGCTTATGACTGTTAGGCTTCAATTAGTCGGAATCTTAAATAGACTTTTTTTTCTCTGAATTTGTTATTACTAATACAGTAATACTATACTTACAAACAACTTTTTTTCCAGACCAAAATCAGACCAAGATCATAGTGTCAAACAAGAATGGAAAAGCATAACAAGGATGATATTGATATATCAACATATTATAAGAAAACTTATTGCAATGAAACTATAAATAACATATTCAAGGATCCAGAACCAGTATCTTTAAAAAAAGGTGACTCTTTTGATGATTTTGAAGAAGCTGAATCTTATATATAATGATTTGCTAAATACAAAGGGTTTAAGATATGACTTGGATGTTTAACGAAAGTAGATACAGCAGAAGATGAAAGTATAATCCACAAGCGAACTATTCTTTGCAAGCATTCAGGTATATTCATACCAAAAAATATAGCAAAATCAAGTACTTCAGCTTGATTAATATGCCCATAGCATGTTAACCTCTCATGCCCCTTGAAAAATAATTCTAATTTTCGCATAATTGTTACCACTTTAAATGATGAACATAGTCATGACTTATCTTCTGAGGTAATACAGTTTGAAAAAGGTAAACAGTTTACTGAAGAAATGCAGAAAGAGGTTGAATTCCTTGTTACAAAATGCCGGCTTGATGCAACTATTGTGAGATGTATATTAAGAGAGAAGTTTCCTACTCATCCTATGTTTTCTAATGATCTTTATGCCGAAATGCAACAATGTTGGCCATCAAGCAATCTAATAAAAAGTGATGTAGCAAATATTTATGATCAATTGTTATCAAAACAACGAGAGAATTTTCTCTGGTTTATTAAGGTTATGTAAGAGAGTAAAACTAATATATTAACAAATTTGTTCTGGATGAGTCCAGAACAAATTTTGTTATAGCATGAATTTGTGAGTCAATTGGATATGATAATACGGCAGGTACCAATAGATACAATATGCCCTTTCATTATTTGTAGTTCAGGATGATAATATGCAATTTGCATCATCACTCAAGCCTTTGTCTGTAATGAGACAACCAAAACATACCAATGGGTCCTCCAAATGACAAAAAAAATGACCAATGATAAATACCCCGTGTTTTTGTAACTAATGGTAATCCAGCAATGGAACAGATAGTATCTTTAGAATATCTGAGAATAAAACATCTTTTTTGTATTTAGCATGTTAAGCAAAA